AATTAACAAATCATAGCTGGGCGATATCTTACATCAGTTGTTCTCAGAATCATGTGTAGGAGAGTAATTTCTCTGTATGTTGTCAGATGTTCCCACATGTTCATATAAGGGTTACTTTGCACTCAGCTAAATCTGGTAAAACAGTAATAGTTTTGGCTGCCACTAGGGTTCTTGTATGTCTTCATGCTGCCATTGGGGCTCCAGAGGCTGCAGAATCAACGCATAATGCTCCACTTTATTGTATTGATATCCCAAGAGTGGACTATCGTTTGTTATGAAAGGTAAGGTTTTGCAACAATGAATCATGAATGAGGAATCTCAGAAGGTAATGCTTTGGTCAGTTTGCTTAATTCTTGGTTTCTTTTAGGATTATTCTTGTTTTTTTATTTTCAGTGTTTGATGTTGTCGTCTTAAGTTATAACTATCAGCAATAGCTGCAGTTAAATTACTTTACTAGGATGGTTTGCCTGATTTAATAAGTCCATCCTTAGCCAATTGCTAAAGATTTCTGAGGAGTCAACTAGGCAATTGTAGTCTAGATTCAGTTCATTTGTTCTTGAAATTGGTAGACAAAATCCTGGTTTTTGTTCTCATTGAAAATTTTTGCTCTTTTATTTTTTTAATTTTGTATTTTTGTTCTTTATAGCTTCTTGAGCGTATATTTACTGACGTGGATTATGGAAGCTTTCTGAGGCCATTGGATTCACTCAATTGAAATTCCATTGATGATGCTGGATGTCAATTTCCTGTAAAGAAGGGTAGAGGTTCGTGTTTAGTGTATGTGCGCCCGTGCATGTGTTCTGCTTCGGAAACTGAAAAATGCAATTTTTTCGAATAATTTTGATCTTGATCATAAAATGTTAGTTGATGTGTGTGAATATTGTGATTCTAATATGGATAATATTCTGTGATGCAGTGTTAGGAGTGAATCAGATAGGTCGATTCCTAGTTCAGGTTGTCGATAGGAGACTGTTACCCGATGCTAAATAGTTATTGGATTCTAATGTATTAATGGATATTACTCTGTGGTGTAGTATTAGGAGTGAATAAGAGCGTCCACAGCATGTAGTGATTCTTTAGGGCTGGCTCTGGTTTTTTATCTCTGCTGAATAGCTAAACATGCTTAGACCTTTTTTTAGATGGAAATGTGCTTAGAACTTGGGGTATAAAAGGTTGCAGTTTTGGCAGTTGGTGTCTGAAGTTATGGAGACTTTTGTTTTTTTAATGGAGACTGGTTTTCCCCACTAATATTTTTTCCTTTTTAAGGAGGCATTTTTTCCATAATAAAGAAGGTGTTTTTCTTGTTATCTTATTATTAATATGTTGTTAGGTTCTGATTTATCAAAGGTTTATGTTCTGAGGTTGACATAAAGATGGCAGAACTTCTGGTAGAAATTACCGAGGAGTTAACTAAGAAACTATAATACTCTACATTCAATTTCTGTATTTTGTTCTTGAAATTGGTTGACAACAGGGGCGGATCTACCTTATAAATTTGGGTTCACGTGAACCCATGGTCTTCCCAGCAAATTAGTTTTTCCATGCATATAATTTACAGAAATGGTCTAATATTATCTTTAGGAACCCATGCTCTACAGAGCTATGTGGTGCACTGGCTAGATGGTTGTTTTACTTCCCCAAGGGCAAGGGATCTAATCCTCTTGGACTTTCTCATTCTACAGTTTTCTTTCCTTTTTTATTGCATTCTTTCATTTGTTCTCGTCCTACATTTTTTTATTTCCCCTAATCCCAATTTATGCCAACCTCAATTCCAATTGCTATCTCTCAAGTAATTTTCTCTTTACCCTTTTTGCTTCTTAGTTTTTAATTGCTTTTACTTCAAAGAATTTTGAATTGTTAGTATAGTTTCTTAAGGAATATTTTAGTTTATTTTTGTAAGTAATTTACATATAAAGAATTAGTCATATGTTAAGATTTTTAAATATTTTTTGTGCTTCTTTTTGCACTAAAATTTGCACAAGTTTCAAATTTTACGGTATTAAATTGTTATTAGCATTTTATTTTCCCTCTTTGTTTTGAATTTTGATGGTAAGAACTGAGTTGTTTAAGAAGTGTATAAGTTACCTCTTTAAATAATATTTAAAATTGATATTAAGTCATAAAATACTAAATATTCTCTCATAAACAACAACATACCTAGTATAATCCCATAAGTGGGGACTAAATGTTCTCACATCATATGACATTATTGATCAAAAATTTTTTGACACTATTTACTAGCACCACGTTAAACCCGGTGGTGCACCCATGATCTCAAAATCCTGGATCCGCCCCTGGTTGACAAAATTTGAGTTAGCACTCTTTACATTTAGTAGTTCGCATTTCGACTATGTCATTTTAGTTTGTGATGAAAATAAGGATGTTCCTAAAATTCCTAATGTGTTTATTTATTTGTTAATTGCTGATTGTTTCGTCTATTTGTCATATTCCAGCTACACATAGTTGAAGACTGATGAGAGCTGCCAGCTGAGCTAAAGTAAAAGCTTAGTTTTGTTTGATTTTCCTGGAAATTGGATGATACTGACTTCTTTTGATTTGACAATATATGAGGGTTGAACACATTAAGTTGGAGAGAACACGTTATTGTCAGACTCCTAGAGGACAAAGACGTTTTCTTTTTCCATTTTTTTTAAAGCAGGGAAATCTGCATTACTTTATATCCACCATTAGATTGACCATTTTAGTTGTTCATCAGCTCACTAAGAAAGAGAATAAGTTTGGTGTTTTCCTCTAATATGTGCTCCTATTATTTTTAAGGTTTGCGGCTTTGTTATGGGGACTTTGGCAAATACATCTGCATTGCTTCTTGTGCATCGCCAGTTTCGTGGAGTTCTGGAGGTTTATATCACAATTTTATACGACATGGTGATCTGATGGAGCAGCCGGAGAGGTAGCAACATTCTCTTTGATTCTTATAATGTTATTATTTTATTTCATTTTGAAGTTCAAAATTCAGTTAACTATTACTGGTAACTTTAGCCAGACTTATAGAACCGAATATAGAAACAGAGAAAAATTAGACTAGCATCTGCCTTTGATTTTTTCAATGCAGAGCTTGATGTTTAGGGGCATGCTCCAATGCCAGCTTGGAGGAAGCAGAAAAGTATATAAACCTTTCAAACTGAGAAGAAAGTATATCTTTCTCTATCTTTAGTTAATTAAGTTGAAGGGAACCTCTTGATTATTAGCTTAGTAAGGAGTTAGGAGAGAAGCAGGGGACCAAAATTTCAGTTGCTTTTCCAAGCTCTACAATCCAAAATATAGGACTGCCAGAATGTTTTAATACATTCCAATTTAAAACCTTCCTCCAACCACTCCGGATGGATTGAAAATGTTGGTCTTTTTACTCTCAAGATTTTGTTGGCAGGGTGAACAGCGACAGATATATAGAGAGAGTTTTGTTTCTGTTTTTGCCCTCCCTCCTATTGTATTGGTGGTGGAGACAGACTCATCACAGTGGAAGCTTTTCCAGGTTTAAAGCTAAAGTGTCAGTAACATTATTGAATAGCTGCTATAGCAAGTTAAATTTTGTTATGAATGTTTAATCCTTTAGCATCTAATGGATGATTATGTAAATCCATAGAGTTTAATTAATTTGAACACGTTATATTTTGCGAGTGAGTCTTTGCGTCAATATAAAAGGGGTAGGATAGTCTCTAGCAAGAGGAGTACAATAAAAATAATCTGTAATATCAGTTTCTCGGACAGAATACCTTTACTAGCAATCTTTGACCGTCATTGTAATCGGTAAGGCTTAGAAGGAAAACAAATTGATTTATGTAATTTATTACTTTATAATATAAATGCATTTGTTTAAAAAGAACATACGTACTTGCCTGTGACTAGTATCTATATCTTGCTGCAATTTGATGGTTTCTTTCCTTACGAGAAGACTTCTACTTAGTTGACTGAAAACTCTTTTTTTTTTGGTTGCGAAGACATTTATTCAAGCAAACTTAAGAGTCATTACAAACTGGGACTACTCTAGGATCCATGGTTCCTAGCTTGTCCTTTTCAAAAGTAGAAACAACAAAAGGTAGCGGAACTAAATACAACATTGGATTTCCCAAAACAGATGAGTTGCTTCCATTCTTAGCCATAAGGTCTGCTTCCATGAACACATGTGTCACTGTTGGCTCCCCCACTCTAGATAGCATCCATCTGCAGTCATTTATCAAGTTTTGATAAAGGCAAGAATGTTAGTGAGCATGTTGATTAACATTACAGTCTGTTTCGATTGCTAACGGCATGAGATTTTTTTGCAGCGCTAGACCTGGCCCATGCATGAATGCTAAGCCCTCCACGTAAATATTGGTTGCATGGGGCACTGTCATGTTGAAGCCCGGAATCCAATTACTGTCACTATTTCTAAATACACCTGCAATGCCCCCCTTTCCTGGATTGCTGATGCATGAGCCGTCTATGTTTAGTTTGAAGAAATCCATATCTGGTGGCTTCCATTTAATGTAAGTCATCTTAGGACATGGCGGCCTTTTTGAATCTGTGAGCAGTTTATATTCAATGGTGCTATTGACAACATGCCCTAGTGAAGAGGATTGTTTTTGTTCTTGAATATTATGTCATTCCTGTGTAACCAGATGTGCCATAGGATAAAAGGAATGACATCGGCCTTATTGGGGTATCCGTTGAACTGTGCTTTGGATTGACATTGTGTTTTTATCCATTTGTGGAGCGTGTAATCATTAGGTGGTTGATTTGAGTATTTGTAGGTATTTTCCAGTTGGTCCCATATGGATTTTGAATAGGGACATTTAAACAGCATGCGCTCCATATCTTCTTCTTTCATTCACGAACAGTGTACAAATAATTTAATTATGACGAAACTAAGTTTTTTTTTGTTGATAAATTAACCATAAGCATATAGATCATCGAGTAATAATTTTCATCCAAAGTGCAGTGTTTTTTGCATTGGCATTTCAAATAAGAGGGCTTTCCGTTAAAGATAGAATATACTATGATGACATCCAATCCAAGTCGCCTACTATTAATCGAGCAAAATTGTTCATAACGAAGCAAAGTACATCTTGACAATTTCTGAGTACTTGACTACTGAAGTGCTTCCTTGTTACAGGGGGTACTAAGAAAACAAAGAAGAAATAATTGACCTCTTACTCCTTCAGCTATAAACAATAGTAGTAATAAAAACCAGCTGCAAAAGTGAATTTATCAAAGGACCCAAATCGCCATGTTTTCAGCCTATGTTCCTAGACAATGCCTTCCCAACTGATATCCTTTGCTGTTCTCTTTCTTTCTACGTTAGAGGATCCGTATCATGCGACCCTCCCGCCACTTAGCCTCGGGAAATTCCCAGTTAATAAAACAGACCCTCCCTGTATTAAAGAGACTTCTCTTCTAGTTCCTATTCAAAAAGTCCTGTCGGAAATCGACCTTATCGAACCCAAGCTCAATAAACATTTGGATAATCCACATACATTTTACCATCTCTCTCTCTCGGGCATCCCATCTTTCAACAGTTAAATTTTGTTATTACTGTGCTGATAAAGTTTTTTATCTTAGCATAAATGGACTGCATGTATATGCACAAAATCATACCCTTAATATAAATGGACTGCATGTATATGCACAAAATCATACCCTTAATATAAAAACATCAAGGCATGAAAAGCCAACATTATGCGCAGTAGACCCCGTATCTTGAGTCTATTATCTGCTAAATAAGATTGAACCAGATGCAGAAATATGTTACCATAACTGGACAACACTTTCTGAATATCAAACTTCTTAGCTGAAAAGTTTCACACCTGCATTTTCAGCACCTTGCTACTTCAAATGCATCTTCAGTTAAGTGTGTCTTTTTTGCTTTTCTGCTTGTACTTCCATAGAACCTATTCATCCAATGCATTAGCAGAAAGTGGCACTATCCCAAGTTTTCCAGCTCTCTCTCAATCCAAGCCTCACTATCAATCTCGTCATCCTTGGCTAATTTCTTCAGTGAATTCTTTTCCAATTTCCTCCTCTTTAATCTCTCCTTGATTCGATCAATATCAATACTTCCATTGTGGTCACCAGCAGAGACGGTCTGGCAAACTACTTCTTTGGCGTCATCCTTAATTGGCTGACAAACACCATCCTCAACTGCACTATTTGCACTACCACACTCACTCTCTGTCTCCTTGACAGTATTGAGGATGTTGCAGGATTCTTTTTCACTGCATTTGGATGTCACGGAGGTAGACGACCCTCTGACCTCCACCAATTCCATATTCCTGGAATCTTGTGCAACAACTGACACGCTTGAGATACAAGACTCTGTGCTGCTTGATGTTGCCTTTCCAGCAACAGGTTTTAATTCAGTCGACCTGCCAGACAGGGATGGTGTTACTTGTTTCTGATTCTGCTCCAGCAACTGAAGCATCTTTTGAATAACCTCTGAGAAAGAACAAATAGAATAAGTTAGGTGCTCAAGTTACTAAGGTCGTGGAACAGCATAAATAGGATGGAAGGGAAATATTTACCAAGGAATAAGGATTAGTTCATAAGAAAAAGAAACATATACATGGAAGGTCAAACAACCAAAAGTATTGACTCCAACTTCTGGATTAATAATTGTTATCCAGTGTAGAGTATGTCATAGTTTCAGGACTTTTTCCTTTGAGACAAAGTTAACTGCAAGCAGGTCTTCCATACAGAGTAGGGTTTTTCTTCTGGTGCTTCCTTTAAGATATTGCGAGTGTATATCAGTTTACATTTGTGAATAATATAAGTTTGACATGATTGGAACTTTACATGTCTTTGCCCAACCGTTTAAATATTACTAAAACAAGACCGCATTTCCTATGTGTTTTTCTTCTAATCTATGAAGACGTTGTAAAGTCGATCTAAGTGAACCAAAGATATCCATACGTGAAAATCTGAAACCTAATTGTCTGAATATTTAGCAGAAAGAACAGCTCTGATATTTAATTAAAAGCTCCACAGTTAACCTGCAGATTCAGTTGCTCACTGTCTTCTTAAGAACTCATCAGCTTTATTATGATTTTAACTCTACAATGGAGATTTTTTTTCATCACCTTTAAGCGACATGGAATTGCGAAAACTATATGGGGTAAATCTGTAAATATATAACATACCTTCTAACTGCTTCGGTGCAACGTCAAATTGCATCCACCAGGGATTCCCTTTTCCAGTAGGCAATTTCACTTTCAGAAGTTTAGCAGCAAGGAACATGGAACCAGCAGCGATATAATGGGGCTTATATTGCAAGCACAGTGTTGTACGAAGCCTACCAACCACATGATTATTAATTTCTGGAGTTCAAAATTTGGAAGTAAAAAATAAGTGAATCACATTCTACAAATAAAGAACCATCACCACCGCGTGAAAAGATACTAACCAATCATTCACAAAATTCCAAGCTACTTTGACCATCTCCTTGTTAGAGATTTCCAACCTCTTCATAGCTGCAACAAGTGCCTTGTAAGGATGTTCGATGTTAAGATCAAATGCAACTGTCGCAAGCAGCATTCTCTCACCAGCTACAATCGACTCCTTTTCCTTATCATAGATATCCTGTGATATGAAGCATGACATTAGGGGGAAAAAAAAGAATAGAAGTTAGTGGGAAATAACAAAGCTGTGATAATCGATGACATACCTTTTGTCTGATCCTCAGTGGAGCTGATGGATCCCATTTATAAACTAACTTGTAGGAAACAACAACAAAATCACTCAGCCAGCGTGGTGTTTCTTCAGCTTTGCAGGCAAGGAACATGCTCACCGTCGCGACAATCTGCACAGAATGCAGTGCCACACCAAAGAGCGCATGGTGAATCAAAAGAGAGGGACATACTTATAATGCAATGCCGTAGGCCTGATTTGGCTTTAAATCGATATCTGAACCAATTCCAGTTAGTCTTACAAAGGGTAACATCAGAAATTTACTGCGAAAACAACTGCACATTTGCAATATATTTTACTTCACGGTAGAGCTAAACATAACATTGTGTATACAAGTGTTTTATCCTGTCAAGCAGCTCAAGTCCCGGTTTGGCAAAACAAATATTCTGTCTGCAAGACATTAACCACGCTTAAAAGAACTTCACAGCAGATCTGTGTTTCTTAGTCAATTGCGATTACAAGAGTAAGAAATGACTTCTACCTGCCAATGGTTCTTTGCATGAGATTGGCGCATGTAAAAGCGATGGCACAACATAATTGCAGTAGCTATGGTCACTTGAGGCCTGAAAAATTAAATATTCAACAACCTCCTATGAGAAATTGAGCATAAGCAAGTTGCATGAATTCTCTCGGAAAAAAGTACGTGAATGAGAGAAAGAGACCAAAGAAAAGGATATAGTGCTCGTGCTACACAGAGATATCAAACTTTTCTCTACTGATAAAAATAGAGTGGATCTTACACTTTCAGCTCTATGCCAAGCTCTTGCAGGAAAGAGCAGTACAACTTCCTTAGATGTGACTCTTTTTCATAATCGATCCCATCCTTCCTTGACGGAGAGTGATCCTCTATTTCTTCTTTAGTGAAGTACCATCGTTGGGTCAAAGACTGAGATTTTTCTTGAATGTGCATGCTAGATGCAACTCTTGCAAGTTCTGGATAAGAAGGATTCTCTGGCAGTTGTCCTGCCATGTTCTTTCCCTCTTTCGCCAAGCAGATTAGCGGAACAGAATTTGGAAGCTAAATAAGTTCTTCGTTCCAAATAGGTAACTGGAATATTCTGCAAGTAGAAAAGTATAACTTTCTTAGGAAGTTGAATCCTTGCTAAGTTTAATCATCCAAGAAAATTCATAGAGCCGAGAACTTCCAAGCCAGCTGCATTCATGGTCAGCTAACAGTAAATGGCTAATCCGTTTAGAATCTTAAACCTTTTCCTACTTTTCCATCATGAACTGTAACGGAATCATGCTTACAGACAACTTAAAATGACTAATGCTGACAGACAAAGACTGCTTATTGTTGAATATAGACATCCAAGGTAAAGGTTGTTTATTGTTTAATTGCCGAAAATTGTTGAACATTGATAAGAAAAAAGAAGAGAATAATTTTCGCTAAAGAAATATCATAGAGACAATAAACCTCAGTGCATTTGGAAGTAACACACATCCATTGGACAGGTTTCGCATAGAAATCGAATACCCTTCTCTAATTTTCACCTTTCTGGTATGGAGTACTTTAAACTTTAAGTTATTCTTTTACTGAAGAGGACCTAAATAAAGTGGACTACATACAGAGATTTCACATAGCTGATCCCAACTACATAGATATAAAGTAGTTATTTGATAATTTGAAACCTATTTTCTTCACACGAAAGAAGTGGTGGTATGGAGATTTCTCAATTATGTGTTGGTAACTTGAGCCCTTATTACTGCAAAATTAAAAGTGACCAATCAAAACATTACTACAAAATTGGAAGTTATAATGACAGGTAGCAAAGGGAACTGAAGGCTAATTTCAGCAAAACAATGGGATTAGTTGACACACAAAGAGCATCCCTTCTTTTTGAATTCATAAAGACAAAGTCAACACATAGAAAATGACACAAACTACAGATCCAAACACCTGAAAACATGATATTTGTAGAGAACTCTTAATTGAATTGATCATTTACCCCAATCATATCAAGTATCATTAAGCGTTGATACTGCGAAAAACTTACCCAAAAGGAAAGTAGAACAAAATAGCAAAGGCAATTTGACCCAAAACACGAATCATAAACAAGCCATAAATCTAAACATCATTATCAAATCACATGCTTCCACTTTCAACACAATATATTGAATCTTGATTTTCTCTTAAATTTCATTTCAAGGAAAAAAAAAATAAGATCTTGAATTTCTCATTACGGAGCTACCTTAATTAAATTGCATAATAATTAACAACCCAGAAAGGGAAAAAACAAAAAAAGAGCAAACCTGAAGAAAATTGAGAATAAAGGTTGGGATATCCGCTGTGTGAGTAGAAGAGTGGATAAGAAACAAGGAATTTGGCAAAGAAAGAGCCTGAAAAAAGATACTCTAAGTTGCAAATTTAATGTTAATTAATAGTTTAAGGCTAAGAATAAGAAGAAAGATATTTTGTGAAGTTGACTCAACAATGTTACCTTTGGAAAGGTCTTCTGTCTTTCTCTGAGTAGCCTTGCCTTCAAAGAGTTGCTTGAAAATTGCAAGTACAAACACTTCCCTTTTGTTTATCGGGCAAAGGGCAACGTTGCCATTTCCATATTTGCGTTTCTTTCTTTTTCTTTTGTTAAAACCTCTTAAATTATTAGTACTACCTTTTTGTTTAAACTATTAAGTACTCTATTTCCTTTATCCTCGATTATAATTTCTTTTAGATTTAAGAATTTTCCGGTTAAAACGACGAGTGAGTAATAAAAAAAAAAATTCAAAAATAAGTATACATCGACATCTTATGAGCTTCCATCTTGCTAAACAATTGCTAAAATTTATGACACCTTCGACGAGTTCTCTCCAAGTTGTATGCAAGCATCGCATTGAGATGTGATTGCTAAACTTTTGAAGTTCATCTTCAATACCCTCAAGGATTGGCTCATCACACTTTTTAACGAACGAGAGATTTGAGAACTTTGACTTTGGTACCAATTGTAGCGAATCTTAATATGAAATCTCCATTGAGACTCTGAAAAAAAATTTAAGGGGAAAAATAAAAGGATAAAACTTCTTATTTCATTCAACTTAACATGGCAAAATACGAATGCAGAGTATTTAACAAAATCCAAAATAATCTAACAAACCCTACATGTGGCAACTATAGTTATGACCACCTGTTAGGGACTAAAAAGTAATTAAAAGGACCCAAATGATATTATACAAACTTAGGGCACTACATAAAGTAGAAATAAATTAAGAATATCTAATTAAGCTGTTATGACTCTCCAATCGCTACATCCAGTAAAGAATTTCTGAAGAACAATAATTGTATGCGTCAGTCCGGGGCCTTTTTTAATACCATCAATTACAAGGACATTTGGCTAAAATCAATCTTTTACGGGGTCATTCCTGTCAATCACCCGCTTTTTTTATCATAAAAGAAAAGGAATTAGGCATGTACCTTTGATTGGCCTTCTTTTTCATTATTCTGTATATGTTAGAGGAACATAAGATTTTTTTATTTTCTAATTAGCTTATCTCATGAATTAGAATTAAGATTAGCGCATCATATTAAGATTACTAGTCTTTCTCCACGTGCATGTGTGCCTTATTAACCATTACAATTTAGAAAAAAGCACATATCTATTATTAAAAAGATATGCTTGAATTATTAAATAAAACTTACATAAATGTAAATAAACCATAAAAATAAAAAGATCTTTTTTCTCCATAAGAAAAATAAAGATATAACATAAAATTATGTTCAGTTTGAGAGATCGTACATCTTCTTCTATATTTATCTTGATATTCAACGAAATCCTTTAAGAAAATATTATCTAACTATGAATTGTTAGGTAATTCTAAATACTTTTAAGAAATATTTGGCACTGCAAAAGAATCCATTAATATACGAGAAGTACTTAATTTTATTTTTTATAATTGAGAATCTTCTAATTACTCGATTATCTTCATGCATCTATAGGGGTGGCAAACGGGCGGGTCGGGTCGGATATGAGCAGGTCAAGACGAATAATTTAAAAACGGATAAATTATCAGACCCGACCCGTATTTGAGACGGATAAAAACAGGTTTATCCGGCGGATAATATGGATATCCATATTATCCATGGCTTCTTAAATATGATCACTTATGAGAGAACTCCATGTCTTTCGAGCTTGAAGAACTCCAGTTTGGGGCTTTACAAATGTAAAAGTTAAACACATTAGTTATGCATTTGGTTAACCATTTTCTAAGTGGATAATATGGTTCTTATCCATATTCGACCCGTTTTTTTATGGTTCATTATCCAACCCATTTTTTAATGAATAATATGGGTGGATAACTATTTTCTTTTAACCATTTTGCCACCTCTATGCATCTATATCAATATACTAAGAGTTATGTGAGGAAAACAAAATCATAGCTCGAGAAGATAGATTAGGGCAATTATATTAGGAACATAAGTAGAAGTAGAAGTAGAAGTAGGAACAAAGCTAACATATCTCTTTTCAATTTAACTTTATCATTGGATGGCTAATATATGCATACAACAAACCAAAAACTTAAAATTTTGAATTAATTTTGTCAACAATTCGTGGAATATCAAAGAAATGTCATCTTAAAGCAATTGTATCTATAATCTACGAAATATGTCTAGAATTCTGCACAAAATAAAACGTCTAAAAAGACGCTTGAAAAGTAACAAAAAAGGGATGAACTTACTTGAGTTGAAATTTGTAGAGTAATTTATATGTTGCGGGAGGTAAATAGATTGGTCTAGCTGAAATATGCATATTTTTACTGGAAGTAGAATATTTTATTGATTCTAAAGTCCGCTTATATAAGCTGATAAGTGGTCAAAATTAAATTCGATAATATAAATAATCTAATTGTGTATCTATTGATTTTTCTTGGACTGATGAGATAACTCATAAGCATTACTGTCGCTTGTTTGAATTCTACTTATTGCAAACTGAAAGGTTGCAGTTTTGGATGTAGTAAAGGTTGATCGTCATTATTCATTACTCAAATAAAATAGCTTACCTAGATTCATTCCATTTAAACTCAAAAGACTTGTTAAGCTAAACGTCCTAATGTCTCGTATTTATCTCTCTTTTTTGTTTCTTAACTTTTTTATTTTCTTAATATTTATTAGGATGTATATTTACATCTTTACACGAAAATTGTTACTGAAATTGTGCTTGATTAAAGGATAAAAATGTCATCTAACTTTATAAGGATATTTTGGTCTTTTAAATTTTACTTTAGTTGTTCATACTTATAATATAGTATGATATGATCTAACAACATATAAAGAGACATCATCTTATTTATTTTATTAATATAGTACATCTAGCAAATTAAGAGATTTACCTTTTGTTATCTATAATATCATTAGTCTTTAGGCATATGCATGACGTGTATCCCTTATAAATGATATATGATAACTATAAATGGTAGTACTAGAAGATTTTAGATTATTATATGCATGAGAAGTTAATGAACTTAACTTATAGACCGAAGAGTTTAGATATATGTTTCTTAATAAATCTTTTGATAATCCCAGGGAAAATTTGATGTTACAAAACTATTTTGTAGCTTACACGTTCATTTATTAATATTGAAGATATTATTAATTTTAAGGGCATAAAAGTTCAAAAATATAGGGTCGTCTTGGTCTTTCATATTCAACTTTTGATCTGCATGCTTATAATATATAATATAATTAGTATTAATATTGTCATTGTCGTCGTCTTCGTGTTAATACTCATATATCTTACAATATTATATTATTTACAATAAAATAAATTAAGGCATTGAGGTGATAGCTAGATTAGGTACAAATAAACATTCTTCTTCTATTCAAATAGGTTAGCCAAAGTTCAAATTGGACCCTCTAATTGGGTAAGAGAGTGCTTAGTAAAGTTCAAGGGCAAAATTTATTTGTAGCCACTCGCTGCAAATTTATATTATTTGGTGACCATAAAATTTCAGATACATTTAGTAGTCTAAAGATATTAGAATGGTCAGCCCAAATTCCACCAAACCCACCACATCTACTTTTCCTTTTCCACCATCTATCAGACATCCACACAAAAAAGCTCAATCATTGCCCTGCCGCTATTGCACCGCCACCGTTACCGCCATGGCACCGCTACCACCTCCACGTGCTGTTGCCACCGCACCGCCCTACCCACATTCCAAAAATAATAGATCATAAAAAAAGCAGACTCACGCACCCCTGGACCATCCTCATCCACCTCAATTCCACCACCAAACCTAAAGAATTATGGACTAAAAGAGTGAGAAGAAGAAAAAACAAAGGCAGTATAAACAGACAAATTGAACTTAAAGAAATAAGATCTAAAAGTGAAAAAGAAAGAAAGATTGAGAGTATTTATGAGAGAAAAATTATACACTTTATATAAGGAAGATATATTAATTATTTACTTTATATACAATTATAAATTCTATGTGCACTGCATATATACATTATATACTATTATATACTTTATATACAAAATTATATGAACTTTGAATGTCCTGACCCAATTCCATTATAGGCCGTGATGGCGCCCAACACTTCTGTTAGGCAAGCCAACACTGATCAACTAGTGATTTTCCGTTTTAGATAAATTTGTAAACAATGGCTTTTTCCTTATTTAAAAAACAAATTTAGAAGTTTGCAGCTTTAACATAAATATATGGAAGCAATCAGCAGGAATCGTAATCATGTGAACAAACCAAAACCATAAGTCTACTAATGTGTGTGTCAAGACCTGGTGTCACACGTATGTGGGCAATCTAGTAGAATATACAAACAAACAAAAATCTAGCCTACTGTTTGGAAGGAAATAGACAAAAAAATAAAGCATAAGAGAGACTCCAGCAGCTGCAGGACGGCTCAAAAGGGCAGCTCACCAGAAAGTCTCAAGCTGGCGAATCAATCTACGTGCCAGACTGGTGGGCAGATGCACCTGCCTCATATCCTGTACAATCAAGTACAGAAGTGTAGCTTGAGTACATAAAACTATGTACCCAGTAAGTATCTCGTCTAACCTCGAAGAAGTAGTGACGAGGGGTCAACTCCGACACTTACTAGGGCCAACAATATAATAATATGAAGTTCCAAATTTAAATCATAATGTATGTAGATAACAATAAGCTCAGAACAAGAATAATAACTCGAAAGAATCCTTTCATCATATTTAAGGAATCAAGGCACTTTCTTCATTTAAAACAAGTGACCTTTCAAGCAGCAAATTGTACAAAATATAAAGAGCTCCAGTTCTATTATCACACACAAATACCACCGAGGTCGTTCGGCATGATCCAACATAAATGTAAACTGTGCACTGCCGAGGGTTTAACGACGCGAACCATAGATGCATCTATTCACCCCACTCGTGAATCATACATGTGACGTCGTCAAATATAAATTTAAGAAATTTCTCCGCTCGCAGATCATGCGTGCGACGCGGTCAAGTATAATTTTATCATTTAAATCATAACTCTTTCTTGATTCTTTTATAAATGAA